GATCACTATTCAATCTCTCTCACTCTCACTTTTACTCTCTCTTTCTCTCTCATCATACTTACTTTTCTCTTTCTATTCTTTCTTCTAACTAACGCGCTTATATCGCCATCTGCTGGAAAACTACGAATATGCACATCACACGACGATGAAAAACGTGAATTTCTTACTTCAAAAACTTTATTGTCGCATATTTCTGAAAATCAGAAACAAACAAAAAAAACGTAAAAATACTTTTTTTGAAATATTTTATTCTGCATCGATTAAGACCAAAACGAAATTGATCGGTTCAGTCGTTACTTAGATATTGCCTTGAGGAAATCTTCCCACTTCTATTTTGCATGAATCTCGCGTATAATAGGCACGGTGTGCTCGCGCAGTTCGAGCGCAACTTCGTTGCGCGTGAAACTTGGCGCGAGGCACTACCGTGCCTCTTGATTGATAACAAATTCGAAGAAAATTAGATATTTTATAAATTTTATTTTTGTTTATTTTTTAATAAAATACAAGATTTTTATTTGCGTACACATACATGTCACACTACTTTACTTCTCGATCATTTGATAGTTTGTTAGAAATATGTAAGATAAAATTCTAGAATATTAAAGAATTCGACAGCAACAGTTGTGAAACAATTTTATAGTAGCTAAAAGCGTTGGGAAGAGAGACTATTTTTTTTTGACCACCTTGCCGTCCAATTTGAAGCACACCTGTGGTTTACTTTGCTCGTTATATAAACCGAATTCAAAGGTCACGGGTATAGTCGGAATTGACTCCACTATCGGCATGACCAGAGTGTACGTGGCCTTGTCGCCTTTCTTCAACGGGCATTTACCGCTGGACAAGGATTTGCACGCGTCCGGCTGAAGATACGGATATTTGACCGTATATCCAAAAATCATAACATTCACGCTGATTGTCAACTTCGTTGAGTCGCTGTCTGCGATAAAGTAAATAATACAATCTTAATACACATATTAAGAAATATAACTAAACAAGACCAAAAAGCCGTCAGTTCAGCGGGTGGTGGCTGTCGTATTTTTTCAAATTTTAAATAATTTACATTTAATTGGTGAATGAACGTTTTGATCATTTATCGTAATATCTTCATCAGCAATAAATTCTATTTTGGACTAGTCAGCAATAGTAATCGTTACGCGCATCGGTAAAACAAAGAAAAACAATAATCAATAACTTCGACAATCTACATAAAAGAAATTAAGAAATAATACAATTGGAAATAAAATACGATTGCAATAGCAAACAACAATCGATTAAATTTAGTAAACAAATTTTGATATTAGCGATTATAAATAAATTTTGATGTGTGCGCTAATTAAGTTGTTATACAATCCATCCCTCCGTCTGCAATGTGGTTTTCTTTACTAACGCCGTCTGCATAACCGGGTCTGAGAGACTCGGGTCTATTTTCTTACTGTTGTAGGCTTTAAAAAAAATCTTAGAAACTTCCGAGAGATACTTTACAAGATCTCTACTTTAATGCAGAAACGACACTTAAGCGAAATATTGAAACTTTCTTGCAAGATTGAAATAAAAATTCGGTCGGGAAAATTTTCTCTGGGGACTGAAATCCCCATTACGCAGACGGAAGGTTATATATGTAGAAATAATTTTTCACTTACCGGCAACAAAATCCCATTGCGCCGTCAAGTTAGTTCCTCTGTGCAAATTGCACGGTAAACTGTTGCAACCGTCCACCCTCAATTCGACGGGCAAAGGACTTTCGTCGCACGGTTTGTTCGGTGTCGCCTGCAGAGACAAAGCGACGCAAAACGCGACGATGATGTATACTGCGACATAAGAAAAATATATGTACGCGCTGTTATATACAAGATTCCTAAAACGCGTGGTTTGACAAAAAAAAAAAAAAAAAAAAAAGATTAAAGTATTAAATAGTATTATTCCCGCACTCCAAAGACGTAGGTGTAGGCGCGAGAGAATCCGTCTTGGTACCGCGGAACACGTGCGACGCGAATAAAGAAATTGTGCGGCGATTGAAAGTGGTGGTTGAAAAAAAAAAAAAAA